CTATGAACTAGTTCATTTTTTGGAACTGTGAACTTAGTTCAAATTTTTGAATTATGAACTATGAACTATGAACTAGTTCATTTTTTGGAACTGTGAACTTAGTTCAAATTTTTGAATTATGAACTATGAACTGAACTAGTTCATTTTAAAATGTGTGAACTGAACTTTGAACTAGTTCACGTAGAAAAAGAACTTTCCCAACACTGGAGATTTATCAGCTTAGTTTTGGTCTGGACTCTTGCAGCAGCATTTTGCATAAGCTGCAGCTGCCTGATTTATTCTTTACAGAAACTGTTAAATATCTCATTGTCAGGATAATAAACATTTTCTCAGTGTCCGGTTTGCAAACAAATCCTACTGTTGTTTTGTGAAATGAAAGGACTAAGTTAACCAAAATGATTCTTATTGGAATCTGTATTAAATCCTATGGAGTTTTTGGGCTTAAATTTGTGGTGACATATGCTGCAATTGTAACTCTCAAATTCTCAAATATGAACACTTTTATTATGTTAAGTACTGTCTTATTTTAAAAGTCTGGGATGTTTGTCTCTTATGGAACCAATTTCCAAAACTTAAATCACTCTTTAAACCTATAATTAGCTTAATATTTATAATGGAAAATTATGAATCTCAGCTGTATTCTATTATCTCCCTAGAAATGAGTTCCTAGAGTTGTCAGGATAAAGTAAAATCCTACACGGTCATGATAAAACTAAACACAAGGAATAATAAGAACGAGTTTGAGTGGGACATTTTGTAACCTATACTGTATGGTGGGGGTGCATCTTACAATTCCGGCCGCATTAAAGTCAGGAGAAATAAATAATTTAGCGAGGTGTGGAATGATAGATGGCTCCCTCTTTGTTATGGCAGTCCCCGATAAAAGTGGTCCAAGCAAAGAGCCTTGAGGGACTCCACCTAAGTAGCGTCTGTTTTCCACTGCGATTCTGATCATTGGTCTGATATTTCACTCAGCAAATGTAAGAAACAGCGGCCTCTCACCTATACACCGTCTGTTCCTGAGCTGAAAGCCTGGTTCACACGCACAACGATAGCTTCCTATGGTATTCATACACTGCTGATGACATGGGTGGGATTCCAAACACTCGTCCACATCTGAGTGATAAAAATGTGCTTCATGTCAATTCAAAGAGTCACAGATCACAAAATCAGCCATGAAAAACTGATTTCTTGATATACCAGTGCAGCTGAGACCGTCCACCGTTCTCCTGAAGCCACGCCCACAGTGCATCATACATTTATAAGAACCAATGGTGTTTTCACAGTCTTGTCCACCATGGCACACGTTTCTATCCAGGGAACACTCATCGATGTCTAAGACATGAAGTTAAAGGATATCAGTCAGTTGTGATCTTATTAAATTTCAGTACCAATGCAATATGTGACTGCAAATTTCTCACCTTGGCAGGTTTTGCCATCAGCAGAGATGGTGAGGCCATGTGGACAGGAGCAGTAGTAGGTCCCTATGGTGTTATGGCAGCTGTGAGAGCATGGATTCCCAACTTCACATTCATTTTCATCTGAAAAATAAAGAACATTTTTTTATTTTTTTATTTAACCTTTATTTAACCAGGAAGTCCCTTGAGATTGAAATCTCTTTTTCAAGGGAGACCTGGCCAAGACGGCACACCAGTTAAAATACAAACAGAAATACAACATAGACAAAATCTCACATAGAGGAAAAGACAGGTCACATAGGGCAGTTACATTTTTGAATGACACGACATTTTAACATGGCCTTAAATTCATACAATGGGACGAGATCATTTAAATGGAGCAAGTTTTGCAAATTATTCCAGGACCATGGAGCAAAGTAAGGGAAGGATTTCTTCCCCAGCTCATTAAACACCATTGGAACCTGGTAAGAGCGCCACCTGGTGGAACTGAGATAAAAATGGCTGGAAATATGCCTAATTGCATAAATATGCCGGCAGTTTACCCAACATGGCCTTGTATAGAAAAATATACAAAGGAAGTTGTCTACGTAGACTTAATGACGGCCAGCCTACCAGTTCATACAGCGTACAATGATGAGTACGGGAATAGGAGTTAGTTAGGAAGCGCAGAGCACTATGGTACACAGAATCTAACAGGTGGAGAGTACTAGAGGCAGCATGCATGTAGACAACATCACCATAGTCCAAAACACTTAAAAAAGTAGCCTGCACAAGTTTTTTTCTGGCTGACATGTTAAAACAAGTTTTATTTCTAAAATAAAACCCCAACCGTAGTTTCAGCTTTTAGAAATAAATGCCATACATTCAGTCAATGAGTACATCTAAAGTGACATTAATTCTAAGTTATTCGAGTTTGTGTTGTGATAGAAGGAGGAAGCATTTGGCCAAATCCACTTTACCTGCACAGTAAGGCCCAGCGGACACCAAAGTAAAGCCATGAGGACATTGGTTACTGCGATCCCCTGGAACAAAACAGAACAACAAAAGAACCAGAATTATTGGTTTAGCAGCTGTCTTGATGACATTACTTTAAATTGATATTGCTATGATATGAAAAAAATGTAAATACCCCCAAAAGTTTTTGATTTTATTGATCTTTTTAATCTGCAAGGGTTTGAAATGACTTTAAATTTGTCCAAGACTTAACAGCAAACTGCTCCCAAGGCAATATGCAAGCATGGTCTGCTAATAATTATGCACAGCCTGATAGTACATTGTTAGTTTATTTGTTTATTTTTCTCATTAATTCTCTAACCTTTTATTTGTAAAAAAGAGGCAGCAGAAACAACTTCACTTACAGCCAGCCTGATTGTGTTCCCTACTATTTTTACTCAGTCTGTAAAAAGCATAGGCTTTAATGTAATTTATTCCATAGTTGCTTTGAAATAACTTCACTGATTTTGGGTAGGGGAAAAAAAATGTATCTTCGCCTTTAGGTTTGCTGATCGCGGAAAATGCCTCAGTTAACGTTATGCGTCACCGTTAAAACAACATGAGTTTGTCAAAGCTTTTCTTACACTGGCTTGCAGGTGAAGCGATCTTGCAGTTGGCATCACTTAAATTCAGTCAAATTATGCCAACAGTCTATTATATAGAAACAAATTGGTAAAAGTTTTCTATCTAAGAAAACTCCAATTGACTTTGCTCCTCCTGCATGAGCTTGTGGTGACATTAGACAGGGGTAACAGTGTCAGTGACTCTATAGCAATCCCACACTCCTAGCATGCATGCTGCGAAAGTGGAGAGGAAAAACTCCCTTTTAAAAGAACCAGGCTCACTGTGAGTGGCCCTCGACCGACTGGGGGCTCAACGAGAGAGATGTAGACATATAAAAGGAAAATACTTTCTGTCAGAAAAAGGTAACAGCAAACTAGCTCATTAGGGGGTCTGTCTAGGAAAGAAACAGTGAAGCAGATTGAGCTCTGGGCCATTTTTCCTGTTGAAAAGATAAAGTTTTGTTACACATTTCTTCTCTAATCATAGTCAGAAAATTTATTTTTTGGACCTTAAGTGCAATTTGAATTGGGAAGGACAGATGCAATAAAGTTAGCATGCTCCTCCCATCAAAACCAATGTTTATAGATGTTTGAGATCGGCCGGTTTTTCAGTGTAGTCCTGTTTCTCTGACTG